AAGAGCTCAGCTAAAAAAAAAAAAGGCTAAAGAGAACATGCAACAGTGCAAGCAGCGAGGCTTTAAAAAAGCTAAAGAGAGGAAATGAGACAGTGAAAGTCTTGGGGCAAAGACTTTAAGAGAGATTATGCTTAAGAACAGCTAAGAGAAAATATGGGACAGAGTGAGTCTAAGGAAAGAGGTTTTAAAGAACAGTGAAGCAAGGTTTTAAAGAAGACTTTAGAAACTGTAAAGGAGTAAGGTCTTGAAGAATAAAGATAGAGATAAGAAGCAGAGTAAATGAAGAGAATAATAGAGAAAAGAATAATGAAGGTTGTGTATCTCTACCCCAACACCCAACATACCTGGCCCCAACTTTCTGTCTGTCTGTCTATCCTGTGTCCTTTCTGTATTTCCCATCACCACCCAGTTAGCCCCAGTTAGGGGAAAAAGAAACCCTCACACACTTCTGGTGGGAATGTATATTAGTAAAATCACTATAGAAAGCAGTATGGAGGCTCCTCAAAAACTAGAAATAGAACTTGCATATAATCTAGCAATTCTACTCCTTGGGATATAACTGAAGGAATGTGAGTCAGTTTACAACATAGGCACCTGCATACCCATTTTTATTGCAGCATTATTTAAAATAGCTAAGCTATGGAAACAATAAAGATTCCCCACTACTGATGAATGGATTAAGAAAATGTGGTATTTATAAACAATTTTTTTCCTAAATTTGTAAGCACACTGGCTTTCCATTTCTGTTTGTTACTCTCTCCCTTTAAATTGAAGTTTCTATTTTTCTATTCAGTCTGAAAATATCACACAGTATCTTTCTCTTTTTTCTTTTCTTTTTTCCTTCTCTCTCTCTCTCTCTCTCTGTTTCTCCCTTCCTTCTTTCATTTTCTCCTCCATTTATTGCTTACTTAGAGTTTTGCTTTGTAGCCTAGGTTTGCCTTCACTCTTAACTCTCCTGCATCTGCTTCTCAAGTGCTGGTATTACAGACACATTCCACCATGTCTAGTCAAAGATTTCTTTTGTTAATGCCCTGCTCCACAGATTCCACCCACGTCAAAGGCCCAGAACTCTGTTCTCTGTCTCATTGGAAAACAGACTGTCATATTCTGATTGAACTCAAGGTCCCTGCTCTATATCTAGAAAATTTTTCTGCAAAGATCAGGACAAGAATGGGGCTCCCTTGCTTTTAAACTTAAGAACCACATTCCATATGTATGATCACTTTCTTTTACATTTGTTTAATCCTAAATTTTCTTTACATTCCTATTTGGTTATACTATGCCTACTCCAACAGCGTTCTTTCTTTCTTATTCTTGAACTACGTCCTTTAGTTGTCTCTCTGACATTGTAATTCTGACTTTACATTCTGCTTTTGATACATTTTCTGGGTCTCTGGACTATTAAACTGTTTCTTTTTGAAGTTCAGTCACCTGATGTGGAAGTTTTCTATCATTTAGAGCATGAGAATATGAGATTTGTCCCATTAGGTGACACAGTAAATGATCATTGCAATTGAGTCTCATCATAAATGGACAAGCAAGGAGATTTTGATACCATCAAGCTTTATCCTACATCAGATTGAGCTGAAAATGGAATGCAAAGTAAATAAGTTTATTCTCTTTCCTTACTGACACAAACACAGTTTTGTTGGAAACTCAAATATGTCAATTTAAATACTAAAAGTTTCAGATCCTCTAAATGTTCTCACAAAACAGATGCAATCAAGTGCATCAAATGAGGCTTTTGGGTAACTTATTGTTTCATTGCAAAAACAAAACCCAAACCCAAAACAAAAAACACATACACACATACCTATGGCTTTTCCTTATATGTCCTCCTTCCTCTTGCCTTATCCATACAGGAAGATTCCACCCTGTGAGCAGGGCATGACCCATAAGTCCCCTCTATCCTGGAAGAAATAAGGAAACATCTGGTAAAAGCTTGAACTAAACCTGTGGCCTACTACCAAGTTCAGCCAAGTTGAAGTTAAGTCAGTCAATCCCAGTTTGATCAAGGACAAGTGAGGAGGAAACATTTATTTGCTGCATGCCAGTAGGATTTTTATGGTTATTGGTTTTATAACATTATCTGAGCAACAAATGATTGTGACAATAAGCTAGAGTCAAATCATAGAAATGCTCAATTAGGAGAATATAATAATGTAGCAATTAATAATCCCCTTCTGCTGTCAGACTGCCAGAATTTAATATCCAGTCCTATTGTATTCAATCACAAGTGTTTTAACCAAATTAATCACCCTGTGTCTCAGTTTCTACAATTGCAAATTAAAAACAATTATGGTGTATTTTTTGGAGATAAAACAAGTTAATCATTTAATATTTGATAGCATGATAACTGGTACATATTTGATATTTTATTCACGTTCAAAATCATTATTCAATTCACACTGACAAGTTCAAGTTTTATTCTGTAGGTCAGTGGATTTTAACTGCATTTCCAGGAACAGTTGTTTGGTTGGCCAAGGCATTTCATTCCTTAGTAAATTAGAGCAATGTTTTTCTATTCTCAAGATGCAGATAAATTTAAGAAACTTGATATAAATTTCTTGCTCTAAATTTTTTTTCTTGCCTTATGTGTCTAAATCTCTAGCACTTGGTACAACTGGTCTGTAAGCAAACTGATAAGTAAATGAAGGAGTAATATATTAATATCAATACAAAAATTCACAAATGTTTGAAAACTTTTAGTTTTATTTCAATTTGTACTGTAGGTATATGTGCTCCAAATTAACATTTTTTATTATAGAAGCAAAACACAGTATTTTCTCTAGAAAAATATGATAGATTTGAATATGCCCTTGTGTCATAATGCTTTACAAAAATATGGTGTTTTATAAGGAACACAATAATATACTGGTGATTTCCCAATTTACTATCACTGAGGACCATGAGAATTTCTGAAAAATCTGTGTGCTGATGATTTTTTATTTCAAGGTAGATTGAAACTTGAAAAATTTACTCTAGCAATAATATATGAGGCCAGAAGGTAAGTAAGATAGTAAATAGCCCTAGCAATAAAAAAATGATTGGTTGTTACAAGTAGGGAGAAGAAAGGTATGTATTGATAGAAAAGATGTTCTGGAAATGGACAAGATATGAAAACATCTAGATGTGGGTAATGAGAAAAGGGAAAAATATTCTTAATTTAGAGAAGATGAAAACCATACAAATAGCTTATGTTTAAAAATGTAGATATGATCTGTCCTCCCACCAAGCAAAACTCTGTCTCATAAATTCTGGCGTAGTTACCAAGAATCTGTACACTTCACAAATTACCCTTCCTATTCTGATTCTTGAGGTTGATGTCACATTTTGAGAAACAGTAGAATGTATCTTACTCTACCTATTTGGAAACATAAGTTTAACTCTGAGATTCAAAATAATTTAGCTCTTGATATGTTCTAGTTAATGAGCAAGGATTGCTGTGGATAGGAAGTAAAAGGTAACAAATGATTCCACAATTTTATGCTTGAGTACATGGCAGAATAATAATTCCATTAATGAAGATGAAGAACAAAATGGTAAAATCAAATGTTGGAAAGGAAGGAAAGAAAATTCATGTTATCATTCCTCCCTTCTTTCTTTCCTTCCTTATTTCCTCCATCCTTCCCTAATTCCCACTCTCCCTCTTGCTCTCCCTTTCTTCCTTATTCCTTGAACTGAATGTTGAACTTTCTTGGGAGGTCTGAGAGTGACATTAAAAATTAATTCCTTTTCACGTATGGTTTGAATAAACAACTGTGTAAGGCAGATGAGACATCAAAAGAGCTACTTTATTATTGAGAAATGTGAGTTGGAAGGTAACATTTGGGTGTGTCACAAAACAGGCTTCCATATATAGGAACCCAACATTAAGATGCCTACTCTTGGCCATTCCACTAGGCAGAACCAACTGCATCATTCAACTCCCTAAAAGCAGCTAACAGAAATACTTTCTTGTCCACACGACTTGAAACAGCCATTTGCAGTTTGTACTGTACATCCTGTACTTCTCATTTATAACTCACACTTCAGAATTCAAACTTAGTGTGCTGATTGCTGTTATCACCTGAACCTAAGTTTTATGAAGACAGAGAGTAAGTCTTATTATTTACAATCCAATTCTCAAAATTTGGCACAGTCAACAGTAAGATCTCTAGTGACTTATTGAACACACAAATTTTTAAAAACTTAAATATCAGCTCTGATTCAGATCAGATATTTTCTTATTTGTTAATCTTCATGTAAACTTAAGTTCCATATTACTGATGACAAAGTTAAACTCGCAAGCATGACTTTATTCAAGCTACTACAATATAGAATGGCAAAAACTCATTTTTAGCTCTATTTCTGTAGAAGAAACAGAGCTGGAGAGTTGTCAAGGGTTCGGACAGTCAGATCATAGGACATCTGTGTTTGCTTATAGAATTTACCCAAAGGAACAATAAACTTTCTCCTATCTTGTAGATAAGAAGTGGTTTTACAGCTTGAAGGGAAGAAGTTGCAGAAGTCTTCCCAGAGGATTAGGGGATAGGGGCAGGATGTTCCTTGTGGATGACTCCCAAGTGCATGAAACTAACATGACTTTTAAACACAGTTACACTTTAAAGGGGCAGAGAAATAATATACAATTCTACATTTTCTAAAGTTAGTGTTCTAATGAGAGGAACTTCAGGAACTTCGAGGCTTGTTTAAAGTTTGTAATCAAGCTGAGAGAACTAAGTCATATTGCTTACTAAGAAGAAGTGTTTTTGAATTTTTGCACCAAGGAATTAAAATTATGACTCCTGTATGGAAAGAGTGGATACACACTTCACACAATTCTCTCCTTCTTCTTTTTATCCCCTTTCTTATAAGTTATCCATCCTAGATTACCCCTTTCCCTATCAGCACCCTAGCATAAGCAGCAAGGCCTCTGCTCCTTATGGCTTGGCCTTGTCTTTTGTCATGGCGCATGCGCAGTCTGCCCGAGCGCCTGACGTCACCCTGCGCGCCCCGCCCCTACATATTAGCAACCAAAGGAGTCCATAGCATCAGTGGCTGCTGAGATGTACGAGCTTCCGGTTCTCCCGGCAGCTGCCATCACTGCTGAGGCCTCAGCAGTCTGTGCCACCTACTGTCTCCAGGCCTCAAAGCCGGAGTCCCCTCACTTTCCCTCCCCTGCGCGCTCATGCTCCCTCCTGCAGCCAGGGCGGTCGGCCGGACGGCTCCCGCTTGGTGAGACGGCGGTCTGAGAACGATGAAGGCCCGGCTCTGCCGCCGCTGTCTCAGCCGCCTCCTGGCCTCCGTCCTCCTCCTGCTGCTGCTGCCAGCGCTCCGCGGGCTCCTGGCGGAGCTGCTGCCGGCAGCCGAGGCCGCTCCCGGTCCTGGGCCTCCGGACCCCGGCCCGCGAACCCTGCCGCCGCTGCCCCCGGGCCCCACGGCCGCCCAGCCTCCCGGCCGCGCTCGGGCCGATGCCGCGGCTCCGCGAGGCTCCGAGGCCGGCAATGGCAGTAGCTCCGGGGCGGGGCTTGCGGCGGATGACCTCGGAGGGAAGGCCGGGGAAGGCTCAGCAGACAGCGGCCTCGCCGTGAGCCCCAACCCTGGCGACAAGCCCATGACCCAGCGGGCGCTGACGGTGCTGATGGTGGTGAGCGGCGCGGTGCTGGTGTACTTCGTGGTCAGAACCGTCAGGTGAGGCGCAGCCTCAGGGCACCCCGCGGCCTGACAGGGGCTGACCAGTGACCTCCAGCGTCAAAACCAGGAGGTATCCCTGACCTGGTCTTGCCTCCTGCCCACACACAGCATCAGGGGCTGCACTCAGTGAGGCCAGCTGTCCTAATGGTCAGTGGTTACTTTAGGGGAATTTAAGCCGGTGACAGGTTGCTGCCTTTCGTTTATAAGTTAGGACCCACTACCAACACTCTTCATGTTGCCTGAGCTTAAGTACCCTTATAGGATACCCTTCCCCTTGAAGTGGAACTTCTTCTTTCCTTGAATTTTGAACACACTCCCTTTCTACTTTGTGCATTCTTCAGTAACTAGCTTGTCAAAATTTTGCCTGTTACAATGCAAACTCTTTAAGGACAGGATATCACTTTGTAAGTCTTAGCATTCTTCCTTCAGTACTGCATGAGTAGTAGTGCAGAAGGGTCTGTTTATGGAAATTTATGTATTTTATTTAGCATTATGTCTTTATTTTCAACCTACCACTTGAACATCCTTGCTTTTCTGATGGTGGGATTTCTTCCCATCCATATGGCTTTTCTGCGAGGACAAGTTTTTTTTATATATATATATATACTTAAATTTTTATTTTATTTTCATTGTTTTGCTGGGTGGGGGTATATTGTGGCATTTACAGAAGTTCTTAAAATATATCAAATATATCATATTTGAATTCACCCCCTCCACCATTCTCCTTCATCCCCCCCACCCCCATTTCTGGAATAGTTTCAACAGGTCTCATTTTCCATTTACATACATGTGTACACAGTATTTGCACCATATTCACCCCTCGATTACCGTTTCCCCACCTTCTCCCCCCTCCACCGGTACCAGCCTCCCTTCTCTCCAAGGCAGGACTTGTTCTGTCTGTCCTCCTGTTTTAAATTTTATTTTTATAAAATGTAGAAGAATAGTTAGTCCTTACCATCAGTGTTTCTCAATGTTGTCCTTAATCTGCACCTAAGTAATTAGGTTGTAACTAAGTACTTGGGTACCACCTGTCTGAAGAATTGACATTTAGAGCCAAGACCTCACCAGATGCAGACAGCAAAAAGAACAGCTGAGAAAAAGTAGAGGTTAGGTTTGTACTGCTGAATAGTTTTACAAACTATTTCACCCTCTGTGCCAGTATTTAATATATATTTTAAATTCATCGTTTAAAACAAATTTCCTTTTAAAAGGTTTTTGTGAATGGAAAACCAACATCACTTGGCTTAAGTGATTAAAAATGTGCAGATATTGTAAGCCATTGTTTCTGAACATGTGGTTCAAGGAATCTTGGGGAGTTGGTTTTTTTGAGACATCTTCCTACTGACCTACAGTATTAAAACTGTTTTCCAAATAATGCATTCTCTTGTAAGTATATGGGGTACACAACATTATTTGGTATCATTTCAGATTCTACCTTGCAACTAACATTAAGGAAACGCGTGTTTAGATGTAGTATAAGAAAAAGAATAACCACTATTATCTGTAAAGGTGGCTCAGATCTTTTCCAAGTTCATAGCTATATGAAGCTGAATTTTCTTCACATTCTTCATCCAAACAACATATTGTAAATGATTGAATGCAGAAGCAAACATGACAATCTACTTCTGTACTGTTTTCCATCCATTTTTATTTTGTGTGTATCAGTTTAGGCCAGATATTAAAGGAATTTGGAAAAAAAACCTACATTAGTGCCATTCTTTTCACCCTCTTTGTTTTCTTTTTGTGACAGTAGTTATTTTTTTAACAAAAAGTTCTGTTAACTGTAATACATCATTATTTCAAATCAACTAAGTATTTAAAAGAATTTTAGGTTTAATTGATATGTCAAACGTTAATATATATATAATTCACATAAATATAAGTTCTTTGGGGGCCCTGGATAAATTTTAAGAATGTAAAAGAATTTGAAACATTTGAGAACCAGTGGTGTACATATAATTGTTATTTAATGCTATGTATATAATTAGTATAAAGATCCAGAGTACCCTCAGTATTATACTTCTTAGGCATATAAATTATAGGTAGGATTATAATTTTCTTTATATTCCCCTACTTGTTTTTCCTTTTTGGTTTGATCTCATTTATAATCTTAAACACAAATGTTTACTGCCACTGATTTTCTGTCATTGATGGTGTAAAACTTGGAAGAATTCAGCTTTTTCAATCATATTCTGGTGGGTGATTCAGTAACAGGTCTGAGAACAGCCAAATTCTGAAGTATGGCTAATAAAAACTGCATTCTTTAGCCAGATCTAACACATTCATGTAGTCCAGGTTCTAAATTTAGTTGGCTATCTAACGTCCAAAGCTTGATTGATGCTAACAGTGTCTGAAAAATGTACAGAATCCATACTTTTTGCTTCCAGATTATGGTTTTCATATTCATTTTGGTGGATGCTCATTTTGGCTCCTACTTCCAAAATATGTGTGATAGAGAACAGTGCTTATTTGTGTCATGTGGGAAAGAATAGGCCAACACCCATCATTCCCTTAACTGATATGAGGTGACACCATGAATATTTTACTTGTAAAGTTTTACTGTGTTGAACTCCATGAGATTTCCAAATTGTTTTAGTTAACCTAATTTAGATATAAAGAATATTTGGGTACAAATAACTTCTACTTTTTGTCTAGAAATATTCCAAAGAACAGTTATTCATGCTGTAGAAAGTACAAAATGCAGGCAAGGAACACAGTAGGAACTTAGTGGCTTCCTAAAATGAGCACATAATCTCTATGTGAAGGGGATTGTTGTCTGTCTCTCTTTTTTTTTTTTTCGGTATGACTGGGGTTTGAATTTAGGGCTTCATGTTACAAAGCAGGAGCTCTACTGCTTGAGCCAGTCCATTTTGGTCTGGTTATTTTGGAGATAAGGGCCTCTCAAACTCTTTGCCCAGGCTGCCCCTCATATTCCCAGCCTCCCAAATAGAGAGGATTATAGGTGAGAGCCACTGGTGCCTAGCTTGCCTTATTCTTTATTCAATGCTGAATGTTGTGTGCAGTATATAGTGAGCACCAAGTAAGTGCTTGACTAATGAATGAGCATTCTTAGTTAATTCCTTATAGGTGGTAAGGATTAGAAATTTGAGGATAATTGCTACTTACTGGTAGAACAAAGAAGTGTAAGATTTCAATGAGTACATTTCTTTCTTCTCTGTGGGACATTGTTCCTACAGTAAAATGTATAAGGCCAGAAAAAAATTGCTCTACTGGGTTGTTATTAATTTTAAGCACATATGTTGATTATATAAAAGCAATTTATGGTATGTTTGTGAATCCTTGCCTTAAAAGCAGAAAATTATTTCTTTTTTCATGTCTTGACATTGCTGATTTTTCTTTTTTGTTCAATGTGATATATTGGATGGCAATTCAGTTATAGATTTCAACCTTTTCACTTTTTAACTTTTGTGATCTTTTTAACTTTTGTGATCCCATTGCAAAGGACAATTTCAGAACTTGTCCTTTGCAATGGATAAAAGCCTATTCTATGTGGTGAAGATGAGCATGGGATTCAACATTGATAGCCTTCATTCAGACAATTAGTATTTATTCAGCTGCTGAATGTAGGGCAATACACCTGTGAGCAAAATCAACGTTTCTGCCTCCGTGGCACCTATAGGCTGGAGGACCAGAGGGATATTCATCAAACAATCACATAGATAATAAAAAAAATGCCATGAAAGGGCATTAAAACATAATTTCTCCTATTTAACCCTCCTCCATCCTCTTCCTCCCACCCTTTCCTCTAAGTAATCACTATTCTATTCTCTTCATTGATACCAGTTTGTTTTTGTTTCTTTTTTTTTTTTAGTTTAACAAATGAGTGAGAACATGTGGTACTTTTCTATCTGTGTCTGACTTAGTTATTTTAATATCGTATCCTCCAAAATACAGCTAAATAGGTGGAATAAGTTCTAGTGTTCTGCAGCAGAGTAGGATGACTATATAGTTCATAACAACATATATTACTTAGGAAGAACTAGAAGAAAGGACTTTGAAGTCTCCAAACACCCAAAATTAATAAGGAGAGAGGAATGTTAATCATCTTGGTTTGATTGTTAGTATTGTATGTATATATGAAATTATCACACTGCACCCTGTAAATTATTATATGTCAATTAAAAATAAAATTATAAAAATCAAAATGAAAATTCAATACCTACTAACACTGTACAGGATATAAACAATATTTATTTAACTTGAATGACTGACCAAACCTATAAGCTAAAATATAAGATTAGGTGTCTATCAAGCAAGCTCACTTTGTTACTGAAACACTTTTGAGATTTTACATAGTATCTAGTAGTTACAAATTGCCAGTCTAGGTGTCAGATGTAAATGCTACATACTTTATGTACATTTTTCAACTTAATTTATGCAATAGTCTTCAAAGTAGGTAATAGTCTTCTTGAGAAAATTAAAGCTGAGCAACATTAAATAATTGGTTCAGACTCACTCACATAGTCTGGCCTAAGTCCAGCTTTGCCTAAACGTAACATATCCAGCCACTGTGCTTCTTGTGTCCAAAATAGCTGATTTAGAATGGACATAGAGATGGCTAGCTAATTTATGGAAAAAAGTGAAGTGGATATTGTATGCCTAATACTTTTCTGTGCAAAACATAATTTTTTTTGATGTTAAACTTCCAAATTTGAATGGGGTTTGTTTTGATTTGCAGGGGGGTGGGGATTAACTAGTGGGAGAGAGAAAGGCAAAAGGAGACCATGTTGGTGGGATGAATATGATTGAAGTGTTTTATATGTATGAAAATAGAAATGAAACCCATTAATGTTCTTTTAAAAGGTGACAGGGAGAAGATAGGAAAGAATATTAGAGGGAGTAAGTAAAAAATAAACTTCTTAGGACACACACACATACTTAAAAGTGAGTCACCCATAACATTTACTGATAATCATTACTGGCTAAGCTAAAATAACTTAATATACTGCCTCAGCCCTTTACAACCCTCCCCTTAC